TAATTGTTCTGAATGTTCTTCACTTCTATTAACTTTGCTTTCATTGTTTTTACTATTAAGTGCTATTGATTCTTTTTCGACTATCTTACTCTTTCCTTTATATATATTTTTTGTTAGATGAAGAATCGTTTCTTCTTGATCGAAGTTTTGATTTAAATTTTCTTGCAGAAAGGGTTCAAATTCTTCATCTATTTCCATTGATTTAACTGGTGCTCCTAGTTTAGGAGCGTTGAGCAGCCAATGGCTGCTCACTCAGTTTTTTTAGGTGGCACATAATTTTTTGAAGCATTATATGGTGTTCTTCTATTCTTGCTACTAAACTTCCATTATCTGTTGTATCTTTATGATCTAAGTTTCTTTCTCTTTTTTGCTTATTATTAGAATATCTTCTTTTATTATTCCATTTTTCTTTATACTTTTCATTAGTGCTGCTTCCATCTTTAGCAGAACTTTTTCCTTTGTATGAAGGTGCTTTCTTGTTAATCTTCCTCCTTTCGGTGGTTCTTCTTTTTCTTTTTCATCGCTTGTTTCACTTCTGTCCTCCTGTGCATCACTCCAATACTTCTGATTCTTCGTGTGATTATTTGTTTTTTCCTCATTCGCTTGTGTAGATTGTAAACAGTGAAGATAAAGGTTATTATATCTTACTGATTTTTTCTGTGCTTCTTTCATTTCTGATTCAGTAGCGAAGATTACTTTTGCAACTTGTTTTATTAATCCACTTTTCTTTTTAGAGATGTATACTGCTTTTGCTTTTCTATCTTTCAGATGTCTAAGAAGTAATATTTCTGACAGACCTTCTGTGATTCCTACTAGTTTTGCTATAAACTTATGTCTCTGGTCTTTTTCTTTATGATCTTCTTTGCCTATAGATACTCAAGCTAGTCTTCTGTCACCTATTGAAAGTACTCAGGATAAGTCTGCAGCTTCTATTCTTGTGTTGAACTCTACTACTGCAAGAGCTCTACTATTTCTGCACTTAATATACATATCTTGAATCTTTTCTAGTTTCTTGCATATATATTTAACTTCTTGTACTTTTATATCTGCTGGAAGATTTCAGATTGTAATACAATCTATATTTATGCGTCTTTCATGATTGTATCTTCTTGGTACTGCTTGATTTTTTCCTGTTTCTCTTGTCTAAATCGAGAGTTTTCTGGTTCTTCTGGAATTAGATTTGCCAATCTCCTTCCTTTTTCTTTATTCTATTTACTGATAAATCTCTTCTATATTCACAATCGAACACCACCTCTACCTAGCAATTTCCTTTTTTAAAATATTCTTCTATTTCTTTAATGTGTTTGTTTTCTCCAAGTAATCTTCTGACATACCCAGCACATTCTTCTGCTGAGTTACCTGGAAGACTGTATATTGGCACATTTGCTATAAAGAATTGACCTTCTTTACAGATTCTGTTCTCTGGAGACCATATACTTTGTTCTATTGTGGCTGTAAGGATTGGTGTTTTATTTTCTGTTTTTTGTCTATTAGCAATCATTAAGTTGTTAAATTCAAGCTCTACTTGTTGTGTCTTGATTACATCTCTTAGGATGCTATCAATTAGAGCTTCTTCGTCCTTTTTAATCTTCTTTTCTCTTGATGTTGAACTTTCTGCATTTGGATCTCTTGATGTAGTCTTTATATCTTCAATATACAGATTATTTGTTGGAAGGTGTACGAAATTATCTTCTAACATGCTGTTTATTTCTTCAATTGTATAGTGATTAGGTGTTTCTTGTTGATTTGGTTTAATACTTAGGTCTTGAAGTTGTCTAGCCACAGGTCTATATCTTTATTTGTTTCTTCTTTATCTTCTGATAATCTTCTTTTCTTTGGTTTTGAGAACTGAGGCTTTTCAACTGGACCTTTTTTTTTAAATCCTTTCATCTTGCTTTCCTTCTTTTTAATTTTCTCTTTGCTTATATTTACTATATAATTTATCGATGATGGATTGTTACTTGCTATTTTTGTTTGTACTGCCCAATGCTTAATAGTATCTTGTTGCAGAAACTCTTCTGCTTTTTTAAGCATATCACGTATTTGACCATATAAAAGCATGTCGAATATTGTAACTTTTTCTAGATTACTGATTGCAAAGTTTTTTGCTAATTGCTCTATATCGTCTGGTTCTGTAGAATTTGCTATATATAGAATATCTAACAACTCACTATTGTTTAGATATTTAAGTACTTTACCTGCTATCTCATGTACAAATTCAAGAAGCCCACCAGTAACTGGTATTTCTTTATTAAGTTCTATTTGTTTCTAGAAGTTTCTCCTTTTTGATATATATTTGTTTAATTTTGCATGTGCGTGTTTCTATTGTTGTTTGCTGCAGAAAATACACAATATTGCTTTTCTAAAAAGGATTACGTGTTTGTTTGTTTATGTATTGTTTTGATCTTTTTTTAGTCATATGTCTAATATTCGAATTTTCAAGGTCAGAGATAAATGCCCACTTTTTCAAAAAAATTTTTATCAAATTTTTCATAAAGTTGTTTGTATTGCTATTGTTTAGTCTTTAAACTAGTTGCTGCTTTAAGAAGTATATGTTGTCTTGCTGTGCTAAACCTTTTTTCTTAATATGTCAATGTATGTTTTCTATACTGTTAGTAAAGTTATTTTTATATTTTAATTAAGTCGATTTTGAAATTAAGGATCAGTGGAGAGAGTTGATTTTTTGCAAAAAAAAATCTATAAAATTCAAAAAAATATTTAAACATATCAAACTTTTTTTGTAGAATTATATAGTTTTAAACTACTTTAAAACAATATTTAATAAAGTAGTTAATATTAAAATTTAATAAATATAATCAGATCTTATTATAACAAGTTCAGAAAACAGAATTCGGGTGACTATAAAAGAGTGTAACTATATTAAAAAAACCTTTATATAGTCATTTTAATAGTTAATAAAAAAATCTCGTGACTATATAAAGTAATTATATATGAATATAATTTTTCGGGTATAGTTTTGTAAATTGAGCTTTTTGATTTAATATATACATTTATTTATTACCTATAAATAGACTGGGCATTTATATATATATATAGTAATTTATGTGTTAAATAACCTCACCCAACTTGATAGTAATATTTTTGCGAACTAAAAGCACAATACCACCGGGGCTATTATATATAAGGTGGTAATAACTACTAATATAGTAATATGTATAACAATCTAACTATACATATTTTAATTTATACTAAATGAACATTAATTACGCTAATGCTAAAGATCATGTGAAAATCCTAACTATAAGAAGACTAAAATTTTAATTTATTTACCTACTTATACTCTAGAACATATACGAATCTTGAACATACGAATCTTGCGAATATGATTCTGAGTCCAAATCTTGTGAATTCGAATCTTGAGAATATAGATCTTGGGAATACGAATCTTGGGAATATAAGTCTTGGGAATACAGATCTTGAGAATATGGATCTTGAGAATATAAATCTTGGGAATATGGATCTTGAGAAGATAAGCCTTGAAGAGATGAATCTTGAGAATAAGAATATAAATCTTGAAAGTTAAAAAAACTAGTAATTTTGGTTTGTTTTTTTGACTTTTCATGTATACATTTATATTCCTTAAGTAATTTTCTTAAAAACTCTAATTCTTCAAGAGAGAGGTTTGACTTTGAACTTTCCTGTTCTTCATAGCAAATAATGGTCTGCATTGCATCATATGCTTCAGCTGCTGCTACTAGTGAATTGGGTACTTCATCTTCATCCTCATCTTTTTGCCCTATTAACTCTTCATTCTCCTCAGCTTGAAGTATAGAAATGATTCTCTCATTATCGAGTACTTCTTCCATAGTGATAGGTTTATTAATTACTTGTAGATACGTTTGTATGGCTTGGATAGTCTTTAGGGCATAAAAACTTTTATCTGGTAATTTAGCTACAATTTCTTCAATTTCCTTATTTTCTAATAGAGTATCATTTTTGGTGTGTTGATTTGTGGTGTCTGCATTTGCCTTACTTGTGTTTGAAAGAATTTTTGTTTTATTCCAGCAGTTTTGAATGGTGGTATTACTTACATTGTCCCATAATTCTGCAATAAAATCAATAGCTTTTTTCACAGATATTTTTTTTCTGTAGAAAAAAAAAATCAAAATTAGTTTAAACAATAACAAAATATAATAACTGAGGAGTTTCAAAATTAAAATATAGATATCTAATTTGATTGAAAGAGGTAAAGTATTTGTGTTCAAACAAGGTTATATCAGCTTTATTAAATTTAACTGATTTTATACAACAGAATCTCTAACACTCCTATATTTTTTTTTTTTTTTTTAATTTCAAAATTTTGAAGCGCAAAATAAGAGTTTAATACTTTTATTTATTTCTGAATTTTTTTTTTTTAATTTTGAAGCCTTATTATACAAACTTTTCTATATTAGTATTAGATTCAAATTGCTTAAAAACATATTCGCAGTATAGACGTTTATATTTAGATTTGAATAACCTAATTATACTGGCATCTATAGGCTGGAGATGCATGGTTGTGTAGGGTGGAAGGTAATGTATAGTAATATTTGTAAGCTTCAATGTTTTAGAGAAATTTTTTTTTTTGTGAGAATTGATGCGGGTGGTTTCTTGTCTTCTGTGTATAGTATTTCGAGTTGGTAAATATTTTACTAATCGATTAGTTGCCAACTATAGTTGCAACTAATTGATTGTTCACATCACATGGCATCATCAGATGATTAGCCAATCAAACCAAAGGAATTAATTCAGATCTGCCTGACTAGATAGAATTTCTCAGAATTGTACTAGTTGAATAATTAATTGATTAGTTGTTTAAAATTTTTTCAAATTGACTAGTTGGAAAGTTAACAACTAGTTGATTTTTCAACTAACGATTTGGAATACTATCTGTGTAGTCTTTCACGTGAAGAACTTTCGCATGAACTTCTGTGTGGCCTTTCACATATCTTTCTGCGTATCCTTTGTTGTTCTTCAAATAACCTTCTTTCAGTTTTATTATTATCTTTGGAGCTGGAGGAATTGTTCATCAGATCTTCATTAGAATTTAACTGATAATTATCATTCTCTGCAATATTAAATGTTTCTTTATTTTTTTAGGTGATTCAGGTTGACTGTGAGAGAAGGCATTATTTACGAGAAGCAAAATTTTTCTATCTTGAATACGAAATCCAGAATCGATAAAGTGTAACTATTCTTCCCAAATATCTAATCTCATCTAAGCCCGTTTATTATTTTTATAGATAACAAGAAGTTGTGATAAATTTATACTACTAAAGCTTCATAGTTTTTTTAAGTAACCAATGACGAGGGGCTGAAGTTTGTGTAAACCAGTTGTATTTGTAGTAAGTAATATTATAAGCCGTAATTTATCCTATAATAGATAATATATCAATTTATTTATTTATTTTATTTTTTTATTTTTTATTTTTTATATTTTATTTTTTATATTTTTAACCTGTTTTGATCTAGCAACAGCTTGCTTCGCTAATATCTGATTTGGCAATATTCGATAAAACAACTCTGTTTCATCAGCATTATATATATCTTCTAACTCATATTGAGAAAGAAGTTCATAAAGCTTTATTCTTTCACTTGACAGAGATTCTAAAGGTGCACTTGCAGCTTCACTATGAAGTTTATACTGTCATAAAGAATTTCATTTTTTATAGTTAGTTATCTACCTATTCGAAAACTTTAATTTATCTTCAGGAATGCCAAGAAACCTTCTGAACTCACGACTTTTTGATTTCACTAATTCATCTGTAAGAACTAGACCGGCAGCTAAAACTTGATCAACCCAAATATTCATTGCTTTTTCAACTAAAGGATACTTTGGATCTCTATTTTTATAAAGATTTTGTGTTACAGTATTTTCCTCAAGGTGTAGATACTGATCTTTTTTTTTTAAAATTTTAGAAACGGTTGACCGATCAAGATTTAATTTCAGATATCTTCTATTAAATTTATCTGTGATATCTTGCTGTTTTGCTGATAGGTTCCAAATAGAATATTCACAAATTTGTTTGCGTTGGGTGTTAGTTAATTGGCTCTGTGTTTTTTTTTGGGTGCCAGACTAGGAAGCATAACGAAAAAGAAAAAAAAATAATGATAAATAAAAAAAAAATTTAAAAAATGTTTATTACTGTTTAAGATTTGGTTGGGCATTCTATTAGCTTTAAAATTCACATCTTTTATAATTACTTAGATACATATCATTTTAAATCTAAAGATATAGAAGAAAAATACAGGACCTATGTATCTGTGTAAGAACTTCATTTATGCGTATATGATTTAATGTACATTTCTGTACATAATTCTTAAAAATATGCAATATTGTCAATATCAATATGCAATAGGAATATTTTAATTCTTTTTTTCTTTTCCTACTTGAAACATTTGATCTCACCATTTACTTCTTTCCTAAATTTTAGATTTTTACAAGCAACACAACTTATTCTGGAATCTCCCCATTTTAACTCATATCCACCCTTTCTTTTTTCACACTTTATCAGTATTTTTAGTCTGCGCAATTTAGGCTTTGAGTATAACATTAGCAAAACTACCAGAACACATAGGTTGTGAATAGAGTTGGCAATGAAGAGCCTCAATAGAGTGAATGGAGCTCAATAAATACTTATCTATTGAAGTTCATTCGGACCTCCATTGGCATTGTTTTTTTTTTCTTAATAGATAACAAAATTGTCAACCATAATCATGGGCTATTTCGCTTGTTCTCAATTAGAAATTCAGGTTGTATTTTTGGCATAGATATACTGTATTTGGGTTGCTTAAAGGTTAAGTGACCCAAAGCTGTTTATAATGTAATATGCTTGCTTGGCTTAACTAAATATTAGATATAATAATAATAAAATGTGTCATTGTCAGTTAAGTCAAACAAATATATTACTTGACTTAACGTATAAGAATGGTTAAGGAATGTTTTAAACAAGAAAAACTAAAGAAAAGCCTAAA